AAATTGAAGAAGTTTGACAGTAGTAGTTGCATACTGTTATCGTACTGTTTACCTGGACATTCGCAATGCATGATTGATGATGATTCTAATTTTCAGAATATGTTGTCGCTTGTTTATCCCCTTGGTGTTGACTGGGTTTGTAACGTCCTGAAATAATTCGACATGAACTACCTACATTAATTAACAATCATTCATCAGTCACATTAATCCATTCATCTTCACATAGTTAATAAATGAGTTTATGCAAAAGTTTCACATGCGGATATACATTCAATGATAAGAGAACACCTGAATCTATAGCATGTGAAGTATTTAGTCTCAAAACAACAAAATGCCCTTAGGGGCTTACATCTTCCAAGGCAATAGCCCGGTTACACAAAATGGTCTCTCGGACCCATACACATTAGCCGTTGGCTTTACACAATTTACAACAAAAATAAAAGAGCTATTTACTCTTCACAAAAATACCCACGCCTTCAGTTCGGCGGGATCACCACATCTTTACCTGCACCAAAATCCCATAAGGGTGATGTCACACCCCAAACCTGGGTATGACCGGCCGTGGCCCATAGGGCCTTAGCCCAAGGCACATGTAAGCCTAAACACGAAACCGTAATCAAATTGAACAACTAAACAAAAGTCTAATAATAAATAACCAAACTCAATCCAGTCATGCCACAATTATAAACGGCAAAACTAACCGTAATCAATACCATCCAAACTTATGGGATATAAACGGCCCACATATCAAAATAATCCTAAATGAACCCCAATAAAAAATAAAAATAAATATGCACAAACTTGACATAACACTCTAAAACAAAATAAATGAATGTCCTAAAGGTCCATGCAATCGAGTCCCCACTATGTCACAAGTCCACTCTAAGTCCTTCTAATACCTGGAAATAGTAAACAACTAAGTCAGCTGATAGCTCAGTGAGTAGCAACATGGATAGTATATACAGTTTTGAAAACATGGCTCAATTCCAAAAAAAGATATATATCACAGAAACTAGATTGGCATACAGTTTGGTAAATACAATCTGCTTTAAAAAGAAGGTTCCACAGTTCAACAGTTAAAATACTCATGTCTCGCAAGAATATGATAAATGACATTTTTCACTTAAAATAGATTACAACATGAACACCAATAATTTTCTGGGTACCAAGAAAAACAAATAATATGCCATACAATTCTCAAGGCTATAAGCCCCGTTGGATCCAATATCGAACTAAGAGTCATCTTCAAGGTGGCAACCTAGGCCTTTTCTCTAAGACAATCCGATTGAAGGTCATCTAGCTTTTTTTTAAGGTCTTTTCCTTACAATCGTTGAGCACTAGAGTCATCGCGGCCCAACTCGGATCTGTTCCCTAGCGGCCAGAGTCACCACACCTAGTGGAATAATTTCCCTAGACTAAACACACATATGGTCTCAATAATCAATACACATCAGTTTCGCAAAACATGGTAGTTCATCATTATAAACATGAGACCAAAACAAATAGTTTACAGTATGCCAAGTGCACACATGTTTCAGAAATAATTTGATTCCATTGATAATATAATAATTTATCAAAACAGTTTAGTCCTGAAACAACAATTTAATTTTCCAATAGTTCAAGGTAGGGGTACATTTATAAAAATATGTAGCATGAAACTACTCACTTGAAAACGAAATAATATAATCCTCGAATAGAGTATGAAAGTTCAACTAGTTTCCTGAATCAAGTATAAAAACTACACGTCACTACTAATTTAAAAATACTAAAGAATAGGAACTAAGTAACCTCAAACTTATAGCGCACTAACACGGCTCAACCCAACTCATCGTTACTCTTATATATTACCTAAATTCATGTTCTTCAAGGTCTAAAATCACCCAAGACATGGGTTCAAATCGAAACTTAATTAAAAGCAACTTTAAGATAAAATAGAATTTTAAACAAATCTTCCCAATCTATTCGCTAACTTTAAGAATTACAAAACCCACTCCACGCTATTCGAAAAATTCCAAAACCCTCCAGATATCAACTAATATATCCTAAGTTTCAAACCCAATAGGTTTCACTTGATTTGCTTATCAAAATAATTATCTACAATTTATATATCCAAACAGGTTGTTTTCTGCAGCACTTTAAATAAATTGATGGTTCTCTTAATATACATGAGCAATCAATGCAAGGCCAAAAATGTAAGAAACTAGACTCGTAACCGGTTCTAATGACGCTAATTTGATAATGTCACGCCCTCAAAATAAACCCATAATAACCATAACATTAACATGCATTTATAAAAGAAAACGAATCATTTGAGTTATTCCGCTATAGATAATTTTTGGATTTATACCCAAAGAGAAAAACCCTCCCGAAATTACTGTTTACAACTAGTTTTTTGGACAGATTTGAACGCATCAGTTTATATGGATTTGACTCCCAAAAATTATGAGAAAATTAAGATATTCAGTTCAATATGTAATTAATCTACTGTAAAAATATCAGTTCAAAATTCATTCGTTTGATATGGTTTCTTGATTTTTAAAATTTGTGATTCTGTGCAGAATTCTTATCCAATGACTTTAGCTCCTTAATTCGCTTTAAAATTTTGCATGATAATAATATACACAAAACACTAACCCAATCAGCCAAACTGTTCCTTTTCTTCCAACAACTCACAACACCCACAAGCACCATAACTATGTAAACAACAAACTATGATAGAAGAAGAATAAATTGATTGTTACCTTAGAGTTGTTCAGCCACAAAGTTGCTGAAAATTTCTTTCTCTCTCTCTCTCTCTCTCCCCCTCGTGGCTGCTGCTACATGTTGAAAGTGTTGTGCAAAACAATTATAATAAGGGTTTGGATTTTTGTTAGGAAAACTAGGGTTGCTTTATATAGATATATATCTAAACTTAAAAGATTCTAAATTATCATCCTATGTTTTATTTTATTGTATTTCCTCTCATCATTAATTTAAATAAAATACAATTATTATTAGATCAAAATATTTTTACTAACTTGCCCCCTATTTTTTTTAACTAATAAATCTTACCTCTAAATTAGAGATTTCCATGTTTTTTTTTTAAAATAATAAATCTTACCTCTAAATTAGAAATTTTCACCATAAATTTATTTTAGGTTTAAAATTAATTAAAAGACCTTCCAAATATTTAATTTGCACATTAGGATTCACCACCAAAATATTTGAGATTGTAATATTATTATTATTTAATTATTTATTTTATTTGTATATTCGGGTTCTCACAGGTGAGCATAAGCCCATTAGATAAATTCCTAACAAAGTATATACACTTATGTAAGACGTCCAATATTAAATGCAAGTGAGAAATGCAATGGAATGCCCTTTTTAGGATGATCTCATATCACGCCTTTCTTAAAAGAAATCGTTATGCTCATCAAAAACATTGTTCAATCTTATAAATTTTAAACTTCCAATTCTTTTAATCAGCGGGGTGGTAAATACGACACTGGTAATCCCTAGGCTGGTGTCTGCAAGTAGACTCTAGGAGTACTACCAAACTGTCATTTTTACCGGTATTAACCGGAAGGCTCGACACCTATCCGCGCCGTTTTCTGGTCTTTTACCAAGGACACTCAGGCCAACTTATCAAGTTCAACTACACCCTATATCCGGACTTACCACGTATTTACCCCATACACATTACCGTTGCTCTCATTACAAGCCTTTCTCATTTACGGAATAAATGTCTTCAATCCAAGTTTGTAATGCATAAAATCAAATTAAATTAAATGAATATGCAACATCATGATTTCTCCATGCCACACAACATTTCTCATTTCTCCTCTTCTATGCTCTTTCACAAGATAACTTATATGTTATGAGCTCATAGTAACAATACTTTCCCATTATGCACAATTATTTGTTATTTCATAACAATACACATTCAAAGGTTTAACAATAGTGTTGAAATAATACCTCATTCCTCATGCATCAAATAAATTTTGCCATTCTTGCTAAACATACGATGAAAATTCACTTTCTTAATACAAACCACAAGATACTCATAAAATTATTCACATTTATCAAAAATCCCCAAAAATTTCTCTAGGGTTTTATGTCAAAAACCAAGGCAAACCTTCTCCTCTCTTTTGAGAGGGTTTTCTCTCAAGATGACATCTTCCTATTATGAGAGGAAAGTCCTCTAGAAGATAGTTTAGGAAGAGAGATCAAAACCCATCTTGAAACTCTAGCATTTATGAGACAAGACTAAACTTTCAATATCATTAATGGAGCTTTAAAATCAACCAAAACTAACATAAATGTATATATAACTCAAGAAAATTTCCCTACCTCAAACTTTGATGAAGAAAGAAAGTGAAATCGTAACTTTGATTGGAAACTTCTTCAATTCCTCCTACACCAAGAGAAGTCCAAGCTAGGTCTTCAAGATTATGGAGAGATGATGATCTTTGGTCCAAGAATCACAAGAGATCAAGGGTTTAGAGTGCTAGATGAGGGTTTTTAGAGAGAAAGCAGAGAAAATATGAGGTTTAGAGTGAGAAGGAAAGGCCCCAAATGGGTTACAATTTCGGCAAAAAGGGTAAAAAAAACAGAGTTTTCGGATGCCCAGAGTGCCGCACATGCGGCACCCAACCTTGCACGTGCGGCCGTCACCCTCGCACGTGCGGGGGTCCTCCTGCACCTCAGCCCGCACCTGCTATTTAAGCAGTGTGCAACCAATACAAGCTTCACTCTTCCCGCACGTGCGGCCCTGGTCCAACAGCCTAGAAAAATCCTGTTCCGCTCTCGGGCATTTCGGACCAGACCCTGCATCTTCCAGAACGAGTGGTAGTCAACAACGAACACAACTAGAATAAGGACTATTATTATTATTTTTTTGAATTATTTCCGAATGTTTCAATTCCAACGAGAACAAAAGAGAATGAAGTCAAGAGAAAGAAAAAGAAGGAGAGGAAGAGACCCGGCCGTCACAACGGGTTGATGTGACTATTACTAAAATGGGCATTTCAAATAAAAAACATGGAGTTAGAGAATCAGGGGACGTTAGTGGATCCAACATTACTGATGATGAAATGGATTTACTCCCTATGTTTTGTCAACATGAAGAAAGGACTTTGTTGTCTTGTGGATGGGTGAATGGAATTACTCATGTAAGTCAAAGATTTATTGGAGGTGCAAAGGATTTCCGGACCGCATTATGTAAATATGCCATTGAGATAGAATTTGAGTTTGTGTATATGAAGAATGAGAAGTGTCGGGTCACTGCTGTGTGTTCAATACGGGAGTCCAAAGCTTGTTTATGGCGAGTACATGCATTTCTAGAAAGTGCTAACAATTTTTTCTACATTAGGACTCTACATGATGAGCATACTTGTGGAGCTGCAGTTCGTCTAGAAAGTGTTAATAATTTTTTCTACATCAGGACTCTACATGATGAGCATACTTGTGGAGCTGCAGCTCGTATTTGAGTTCAAATTTGGTTGCAAGTTTGATTGTTAATGAAGTTCATGGGAATCCCCAAACTTGTCCAATTGATGTTGTACGTTAATTTACAGATCAATACGGGCTCACCATTATGTACAATCACGCTTGGTTGGGAGTTGAGAAAGCTAGGACTACTACTTTTGGAGATTTCTCTATGTCTTTTGATGAAATTCGATGGTATATGGATATTGTGATGAGCACAAATCCTGGTAGCTATTTGCGTTTTGACTATAACCATCAAAGTGGACGGTTCAAGAGGTTTTTTTGTTGTATTTAATGCTTCCATTCAAGGGTTTAGGCATTGCCGTCCTTTATTGTTTATCGATGGAGCTTTTCTGAAGGGGAAATATAAGGGCACATTATTAACAGCTACAGCGAAGGATGGGGATCAAGGTAGATATTACTATAGTTTATTCAAAAGTAACAAGTTACTTATTCTCAGAGTAGCATGTTACTTATTTTCAGAGTAACATGTTATTGTTATTCAGAGTAAAAATCTACTATATTTGTCCTTTTCATTTAATATACTTACTAATTGTAAAATGTTATTTTTTAGGTTTTTTCCATCCTGTAATGGCAATTGTTGATATGGAGACTATAGACAGTTGGGAATGGTTTTTTATGCATTTGTCAAATATATTGTTGGATGAAAGACAAATTACCTTCATATCTGATCGGAACGCAGGACTTTTGAAGGCTTTACCCAAGGTTTTACCTACTGCTTACCACTATTTTTGTCTCCAACACTTGAATGCCAATTTGAGGGATAGGTTCTACAGTCCAAGTTTCAGCAATACTTTCAGGAGTAGAATAGTTTTTTTGTTTTCTTCATGTGCTTATGCTCCAATAATGGAATGTTTTAATCAGTTCTTGAAAGAATTACAAGATGAGGGAAAATGGATCGTTTGTAGATTTCTATCCCATTTGCCCTATGACAAGTGGACTAATGCATATTTCAAAGGACAAAAATACGGTGAAATGCACTTGAATGTGGCAGAGTCTTTTAATTCATGGATCCGTCAAGCTCGTCATTTGCCCACTACGAAGATGATTGATTCAATTAGGTTGAAGATCATGGATTTGATGTCGAGAAGGAGAGAATAAGCTAAGAAATAGAATACTTTTCTTTGTCCAAAGATGGATTCAACATTAGTAAATGCTCTTAAAAGTGGAAGAACTTGGTTGGTTAGTCGTTCAAGTGATCATGTTTTTGAGGTTCAATCCCGCCCATCGGTTAGCGTTGACCTCTTGAATAAAACTTGCTCATGTTACCAATGGCAATTGAATGGATTTCTTTGTGCTCATGCGGCAACCGCTATCCAAAAGAGTGGGGGTGATTTGTATGCACATGTGGAACCATTTTATTACACTAGCAAGTTCAAAGTTTGCTATGCTGAGTCCGTTTATCCAATACCCACTATTGAGAAACCTCTTGTAGCTATGGATGCTCTTGTTGTCCTTTCTCCAATTTGTAAGAAGCCACTTGGTAGGCCAATGAAGAATAGGATTCTATCTAGGGGTGAGAAGATAAGATGAGTACAGTGTGGTAGATGCGAAAAGTACGGTCATAATAGGAAGATTGCAAGGAGACATTGCCGTGAAAAACATTATTGATTTTGTAATAGAAGTATGAAAATAATGCAATTCTTCTGCAATAAATAGTCCATGGCAATAATAGTATAGTCTTTTAGACTAGATTTGTAAGGAGACATTGCAATAAAAGACATTTTTACTATGTTCTTGAATGGTTGTCTGTTCAAGTTTCTGATTTGCTTTGTGGTTAGTTTGACATTTTAATATATTTTTTTAATGTTGTCGAATAAGTTTCATGTAAATGAACTTATAATGGAGTTTGTTCAATAGGTGTGAAGGTTTGAAATGGCTATACTCAGCCTGTGCTTTCAAAATAAAATTTTTCAGTATTTCAGAGTAAACTTTTACTGTATTGCATAGTAAAATTTTACTTTTTCCAGAGTAAAACATTGCCTTCATTCACATGAAAGTAAAACTTTATTGCCTTTCAAAGTACAAATTTATTATGTTGTTGAATGGTTGTCTATGGGTGTGATGAGCCTGTGGTTTCATAGTAAAATTTTACTTTATTTCAGAGTAAAATGTTACTTTTAGATAAAACTTTACCTTATTTCAGAGTAAAATTTTACTTTTATAGAGGGTAAAATTTTACTTTTGTGCAGAGTAAAATTTTATTTTTAGATTTAGAGTGCAACATTTTACTCGTTTTTCAAAGTAAAATTTTATTTTTATACAGAGTAAAATTTTATTTTTAGATTCAGAGTGTAACATTTTACTCTTATTCAGAGTAAAATTTTACATTTAAATTCAGGGTGTAACATTTTACTCTTAGATTCAGAGTGCAACATTTTATTCTTATTTCAGAGTAAAATTTTACTTTTATGCAGAGTAAAATATTACTTTTAGATTGAGAGTGTAACAATTTACTCATATTTCAGAGTAAAGTAAAATTTTACTTTTATGCAGCGTAAAATTTTACTTTATTTCAAAGTAAAATTTTATTTTATTTCAGACAATATTTTAGCCCTTAGAAAAACATTTCCAACCTACCCCAAAATTTACCACAAAACACAAACTCTCCTGATGATCATCATGCAATCTTTGTGCAAAAATAATCTAACAACACAACTACATATATCATCAAAGATACATAAGTATAACCTGTACCATTGTATTCTATCCATAACAACGTTCATTCCTAGTCAAAACAATATCCTGCTATAATAATGTATTAATCACCAAACCATAGTAAAATTTACTAGAACAATAGACATAGTATGTACTATCTAGTACTCTTTTAGTATTCTTTCACTTACAATTACTTTTTCACCATTCTTTCATTTACAAAAACTGAAATTACATACATCATTCACAGTAGTTCCCCAAAAGTTGTCCACATTGTCATCCTTGAGGTCTTAGCTCTTGCCCATTTTTTTTTGAGGTTGAATTGTTCCTCAGTCCATGCTTTTGGATAATCATTCAAAAATTGATGCACTATTGATGCTCGGAAATTGTTAATTTCATCATCTTCCATAGAATTTGCAATAGGCTCATCTCTTATGATTTGGCGTATGATATAACATACAATAATTTTGCAATCAACACTGTTAATAAGAATCAAGATCTTGTTAGATTTAGTCAAATTTGAAAACTACCAATTCAAGCATGTAGTAGTAGTGTGAAATACTTACGATGTTGGGCGTTGTTGTGGATTATCTTTCACCGAAGCCAAGTTTGCAAACTTTCTTCTACCTCTCTTCGTTTTGTTGGACAACTTGTTCTCCACATATGTTATCTAACATCATTGCATAATTGTTTGGTCACGATTAAATACAAGAATAAAACACAACAAAAAATTACTGTTAATATGATGCAAAACACTTACAATCATTTTTGCATCCTTAAGGTAAGGATCTTCTCTGTTGTCTCTTGGCCTTAAAGAATTGTAATGTCTCTACTCATTAAATTCAGTGTCAAATACAAGAAATGTCCAGTTGTAGGGTTTTTCTTCCTTCTTGTTCCCATTGGAGTTCATGCAAAGGTGAAGGTATCTGTATCCACTCAAATCTTGCTTAAGCACTTCGTCAATTAAATGATTTCTCAAATCTCCATAACCCCATTGCACTAGTGACTGCATTTAATCATATAAGAGTGTCATGTCTCAAGTTGTGTTGGTGACACATTGTATGAGTTGTCAATCTTTGGCAAACCAAATAGTAAAAATTAACTCTAAAATATAGTACAATGTTACACTAAACCACAGTAAAATTTCATTAATTCAAACTGAACACAAATTGATGGCTTACCCAACAAAGGCTTGAGAAAAAGAATGACTTATTCTTTTCTGGCTTCTTTGCTTGTTGCTCAATTTGAAACATTTCTACAAAGTTGTCAATGACCTACAAAAACAAAAATCAATTAAATATATGTTAATAAAATGAACTATTTTTAGTTATTGAAGTGAACACTAGTCATTGAAAATTGTATGGCCACTTACATTATTTGCAGTATCACCATCTCTCAGAATTGCATCCACATCATGCAATGTAACATATACTCCATTTCCTGTGTCGGACCATATGATTGCACTAGTCATAAGGTAAAAAAAAATGTTGATTAAGACGTTGCAGTTTGATAACAGTAAAAATATGTTGTTTGATAAAATTAAAATGGTCTTACTCTATGGTTTCCAAACTGTAAATCTTGTTCAGTAGACACTTATCATTCTCATCAAGCAATTTGCATATTGCAGCCTTATCTGGAAACAAAACCCTTTCAACTAGCTTTGGTTGGCTTAGAGGCAAGTTGTCAACACAAATCACTTCATTTGATATCACTTCAATTGCTTGTTTTGTGGTCTTTTTTTTCTTTGCCTCTCTTGGCTCACATTCAAAATCAAACATCTCTTTTTTCTTCCTCGCCTTGATTTTGATTTTCCTGACCATGGATGTTTGCAATGGCTCTACGACTATAGGTGATTCTTTCAATGTACTTTGAATCCCAATGTTTTGCTCTTGTTCTACTCCTTCAGCATGTGGCATTTCTTTAGAAGCAAAACCTTGGGTAGCCGCATGAACTGCATTTTCTTCAATCTGTTCAACCAACTATTTATTTTCAGCTTCAAGTACTTCAAGCTCCTTTCTCAGTTTCTCGATTTTTTTCTTTGTGTTGCTCATTTTTTCCATCATTTCTTTTGTTTTTGCCTCTTGATCCTCTTGTATTTTTTGCATTGTTTCCCTCATTTTCTTCAGTTCTTCAACCAATGCCATATTCTCACTTTTTAGCCTCTTGTTTTCTTTTTGAACTTGTTCTAATTTCCCAAGATCAATGAAGTCCTTCAAAGGTTGATCATCTCCTAAGGCTTCAGCTACATGATCTTCATATTCTTTAGTCTCCAAATTTTCCTCCATGTCTAATGCATCTTCTTCCTTATCATTGCGAATGAAATCCATTTCTTCACTGGAAATGGGCTTCAGTTCATCGTGATTTATCTGCATTTGGAAAATAGAAAAAGAAAAGAAGTCAGCAATGAAGCAAACTTTAACCACCAGAGTAAAATTTTACTCTGTTTCAAAGTAAAAGTTTACTCTGATTGTAAGTAAACTTTTACTCTGATTTAAAGTAAACTTTTACTTTGTTCAAGAGTAAGTAAAATTTTACTTTGATTGTAAGTAAACTTTTACTCTAATTTTAAGTAAAATTTTACTCTGTTTTAAAGTAAAAGTTTACTCTCATTGTAAGTAAACTTTTACTCTGTTCAAGAGTAAGTAAAATTTTACTCTGTTTCAAAGTAAAAGTTTACTCTGATTGTAAGTAAACTTTTACTCCAATTTTAAGTAAACTTTTACTCTGTTCAAGAGTAAGATTTTTATTATATAAGTATAATTTTAAGCAAAGTGAACCAGTAAGGCTGAGTTTGGAAAGATGATACCTCTTCGGGCTTTAGTATTTGCAATGACCTCCTCATTAGCTTTTTTCTCAACGTTGATAAGTCCCATCGAAAGAGCCTTGGACACAAATTTTTTCCTTGAGGTTGAATGAGGGTAACATGCTCGCATAACCAGTACTATAAAATAAAAAATCAAAATTAGTTAATTCTCTAAAAATAGATTGCGTAATATTCAAGTAGTTCAATTTACTTACCAAAAGAAGAAGTACATATCCAGTTACATTTTTAAGACTTCCTAATGAAAAATAGATTGAAATAGTCAACGTGGATGCAACTGCAGTCGACCATGCATATGAATTCATCATTTCCAAATCTTCTACAAGGGCGACAAAAGCCCATCCAACTGTTAGACCACTTATTGGTAATAGCAAAGTTGCCACAACAAATAAACACATTATTCGTGCAACATCCTCAACATTAACTGTCGTTGTGCCTTCCAATGCATCTCCTAATACCTCTCGCAAACTCTTTACGGATATTCTTGACATATTACGAAACCTTCTCTGCACAAAAGGTGATTCTTGTTTCTTCCTATATGAGACGTCTACTTTTTTTGTTCCCGATTTTATCCCAAAAATCAAAGTAACGTCATCGTCCCGTATGTCACACGTTTTCCCTCCAA